GTTTTTGTAAAAATATTTGAATTAAAACTAAATCTGCGAGTTTATTATCAATATTATAATTGTTTAATGCAGCCAATTTTTTTTTAATGTTTGTCAAAAATTCTCTGAGATTTGATGCCTTATTTTTAGTCAAGGACGGAATATTTAGCAATTCTTTAATATAAGAGTTTATAATTAAACATTTGTTTTCATATCTATCGCATAAAACATCTAAGACAACTTTGAAATTTGAGCCGATAACTTCCAAATTGTTAATTAACTCTAACGGTTCCTTTTTCAGGGATGATTTGAAATATATAAATTTTTGAACATCAGATAAATTTTGATCATTTGTTATAAGTGTATTAAATAGTTCAACAAAACTGGGCCACGTAGTTATATTGCCCTCAAAAGGTGTAATACTTAACTCCGGAAGTTTTACAGATGAATTAATTATTGTATGTGGTACAGCAGTACTTAGAACTGTCTGTGATTGAGTTTGATTTAATTCCTTTTTTATCCTAGCTGCTAAATCAAAATATTTGTCATGTGTACTATCACTATCGCTACAATATTTATCAAAATCAATCAATTCAAGTTCCTTTTGAATTTCATTATATTCTTTAAATGCATTTGTTAACTGATCTTGGCGTAATTGAAACTGTTCTAAATCAAAAGTACATTTTTTAAGCCGGTTTTCAACCCTCGTAATATGAGATTTGGCAATACCCCTTAATTTAACAAGTTTTACTTCTTCTGCCATGTTACTAAACAATTATGCGATATAATAAAATACACGATATAAATAGTAAATACGATATAAATAATAAATATGATATAAATTTGAAGCTAATTTATAAAATATTAAATTGTGAGTTGATACTTGTGAATTTAGCGGAAAGTATTATATGCAAACAAAAAAAATTATATGAAACATATATCTATAAACTAAATAATTTTTGAAAATTGTAAATATTTATACGTTTAAAGAGAGCATGCACCTATTCAAATATACAGAAAATAAATTTTCCAATAGTAGTACAGTACGTCTGCTGGATCTGTGTCTATGAAAGGAATGCGGACAACAAACATTTAAATAAACAGCAATATATTTTATACGTCGACTTGACGAGTACGTCACCGTAGATCGCTCCGCCCAGTCATTTAATTGGCTACTTGCAAATTTGTCGAATTTTTATTGATGAGACGCGTCATCTAATTTTTTATGAAAAACATCGAGGGAATATCGTTTCCCCTCTCACGGATACCCCGTAGCTACAGAACAGACAGACGTACTGTACTACTAAATAAATGTTGTTTTACAATTTTTTTTTAAATATCAATAGGAAATTGTGAAATTCGTGTTTATTTTTTAATGAATTTTAATAGAAAGTGGGAGAGAGAGATTATAAAAAATGTCTATACCTAAATAGAGTTAGAGATTATAGTATATTTTTACTTTATACTAAACGAGATTGTTTATTGAGTCTTAACCATTGTCTTTAAGCAAACTTAATCTAGTTACTCACTGATTGTTTTTTCTTTCTGTTCTTTTGTCACATACACTTAACACTTTTTCTTCTCCTGGTACTTCTTTCTTCTTGTGATGGTTTAAAAGTTTATTAGTTTTTATTCGTTAAAGCTGCTACCACTTTTTCACATGTGTATAGTTTAAATGTATGTTTATTCACAAGAAAGTCAGTGTTCGTCCAAACACTAATCCAAAACCTTATTTACGAGAAAATCCGGCTCGAAGGACCAAAACTATATATGCGGTAATCTTGCCGCTACACAATTTGTGAGAGTGTTGTTGTGGACTGTATTTTTTGGGTTTACTGGCACCTGTCAACAGCTCGATTATGTCTATTTTCAGGTTGGTTGGATTCTCGTAAATAAATTTACACTGACCACTAATATGAATTTTAGAACTTTAATTAAACAAACAACTTCAACTGGTAACAACAACTTTACACTTAACTTATTATCTAAATAGATATTAAGAGATAATAGAAATTAATTCGAGCTCAATCGAGTATTAAATTTTAGCTCTTTCGGTGTTTTTGATAAACCGACCCGAAAGGCATAAGAGAGAGAGTAAAAAAAAACAAAAATTATATTTTTTGGGGCATCTGCACCCTGTGAGCGAATCGTGGGACTGTCCTTTTAGGAAATTTAGAAAGCGTAGGGTATTGTCAAGTGGGTACCATCTTATGACCACCATCTGGAGCGATAAGATGGTTTACAGCACCCTAAACGTATTTTCTTAAGAAATATGTATTTTCTGTTTCAAAGATATTTTGGAACAAATACAATATTATTAATTATTAAATTAAAAAATACCTCCTAAAAAAACTTGCAAAAGTGGTGGGCAAAGATTACACGAGTCGTTCGTTTAGATAAATAGATAAATAGATAAATAATTTATTAAATCCTTAAGCCATGTTTTACATGTATAGATCAAGTCTACAAAACAGTACGTACAGGGTGTCCCAGAAACAAGTGCAAGTATTTTAAGGGGTGGTAGATCTCGATAGAAGAAACATATTTTCTCTTTATCGTTTTTCAAATAAGTCCAAAATAACGGAGTTATTTTACTTCTTTGAAATTAAAATTTCCAAAAAAAAAATATTCTCATATGCTCAAATTTTGAGAACCACTGGATCTTTTCTGGATTTTCTTTCTTGTAAATATTATCAAGAAATTATGTTTTTTTAACTAAAACCAAAAAAAAATTCCAAAAAATTTCGAATTTTCAAAAAAAAATTTTTCGCGAAAAAAACCTCATAGGCGTGTTTCTGGGGTTGAACTATACTACCAGTTAAAATACTTGCACTTATTTCGGGGACACCTTGTATAATATCTAATACCTACTTACTAAATTTTCTAAAACAATATTTATATTAAAAATACATATATAAAAAAATGTTATGCTAAATTTCTCTACTATAAGCATGGTATTTCTCCAGACTATAGAAAACTTCGTCAACCAAAAAATTCCACAATATTGCTTTTAAATTTTTTTAAACTTTGGCTCCAATATTTCCCTAATTGTAAGAGGTAAGCTATTGTACAATTTCACTCCAACATAATACACATTACTTTCCACTGCTGTTAAAGAATGTACAGTACGTCTGCTGGATCTGTGTCTATGAAAGGAATGCGGACAAAGAATATTTAAATAAACTGCAATATATTTTATACGACGACTTGACGAGTACGTTACCGCAAATCGCTCCGCCCACTCATTTTATTTGCTACTTGCAAATTTGTCGAATTTTTATTGATGCGACGCGTCGTCAAATTTTTTGCGAAAAACATCGAGAGAATATCGTTTCCCCTCTCACAGATACCCCGTAGCTACAGAACGGACAGACGTTCTGTATCGGACATATCAGATCACTGATCACTCTCGTCGAGTTGAATAATCATGAAACTGCTTATTTTGATAAAATTTTGCAAAATTATTTTTGACAAACATTAACACTTCAAACACATATAAATAAGACGGCTCTGAGGGCTTATGATCAAGAAAAATCACAGATCTTCCTGGGTCTGAGTAAGAACAATCTTCGGATTGTCACGGGGTTTTTAACAGGACACTGTCTCCTCAATGAACACCTCAGTAGATTGTAACTAAGAAGAAACGGCGAATGCAGATTCTGTGGGGAAGATGGGGAAACACCAGTACACCTCATCACTGAGTGCGCCGAGACGACAACCATTCGTGCCATGAATTTTGGTACGACTGATATTGGAGATGGAGAACTACCCTCTATAAAACCGTCCCAGATACTGGCTTTTGTCAAAGCCCTGGGACTGTATGATGAGTTATGATTCAAGAAAGGGGGACACAATGGATCTGTAAGGTCGAAGTGATTAACCCCCCTCCCACTCATTCTAAATTCTAAAAAATTCTAAGACGGCACAGTCAACATACGATTTTTTAAAAAAAGATCGACAGGTAGACCATACATTTGAACGAGTATTAAAAATGAATCGTGAGATTCAATTGAATCGTGGCCAGCACGGATCCATAACATTTGAAAGATGAGTCGTAAAAAAGAATCGTGAGAATTCAATCGGATCACAATGCGATCGTTCGTTTCTATGCATGGCACCAATATTTAGACTTGAACAAAAGTCCTAAACAAACATCATGGGCATAAAATGCAAACGATAAGAAAGTTATTTACAAGAAAAAAACTTATTCATACTGTGCTTAGTACGGGAGTATCTGTACGGTATTTATTTTCACATTAATATTTTTGTTCCAAGCCAACTGGACGCTATTTTTTTCAATCATGCGGTATTATATACTATTTATTATGATTATTAAATCAGAATTAAAATATGGCTCTAAAAATATTAAATTAATATTAAAAAGTCTTTAATAAATAGTATATATAAATTGGATTGATAAAAATTAATATTATTGGTAAAATAATCAATCCAATTACGCCAATGTCATAAAGTGTTGAAAAACAAATGAAAGAACTGTATATTTCTTTTTCTGGTCCCTTAAGTAATTGTCTTACCAAATTATCGCCGGTTGTGCCAGTTACGATTCTTGTTTTTATGAAACGTAAATTCTGCATGTGGTTCGTTCAAATGAACGAATCGTAGGAGGTAGGAGTCGATTCAATATGAGAAATTGAATCGTGTGATTCGATTCACTAAAAAGAATCGTAATGTCCATCACTACTTCGGAGAGTTAGAAAACATACTTCTGTAGACCCCATAGATAAATGTCAGAATATGGCATGTAATATGGCATTTAAAACCTCAAAATATATCTATCTAGGTGTGGATGGTTAAAATTCTCATAATATAGCATATTATTAACTCGAACTTAACTGTACTAAAGCTTATTTGGTATTTTTTATTGTTCAATATTTTAAAACATAAAAAAACATTTAGTGAAATAGAAAACTGACCCGAATTACCACTAATTATTATTTCTATATCTGAGGAAGAGATATAGAAATATAATTAATACCTAATATTAAATTAAGAGTACTTACCAAATTGGGAAAGGCACATTTTAACCACATTTTCATTTCTTTGTCGCGACCCGAACTAAAAGAAAATATTTCCTTGCCGCACAGTTTACAACGTTTATCCGTCTCGGCACCCATGTCAACCATAGACGTCAACCAAGGGAAGTGCAACAGTGTATTAAAAAATAAATAAGGCCGGTTCCCAGATATCGCCCGTCGTCGCGTCGCAGTGCTCAGCACTTTTTGTGACCACTCGGCATTTTAAGAAAATAAATACCTTGGCCGATGTAGGCACGGACTGTGGCACTGTTGTTTGGGTCGGTGCGTACTTCCGACCTGTATTTTTTCGCACTATTTTTTATTCTAAATTCTTGAAAGTTTTTGCGTCTAATTTGTATTTCAGGGTAAAGTACGTCTACTGGATCTGTGTCTATGAAAGGAATGCGGACAAAAAACATTTTTTTTTTGGTGAAGGGGTGGTTTAAAAATCTTTTATAGACGAATAGTGATCATTTCCATGGCCCTCTCGAGAGAGACAGTCATAGAAGTAACCCCTAGACAGTGTGGGATTCGAAATACCCACTAAAAACGATCCACCTCCGAGGAATCAGCGGCCGAAGAATGGCAGCTCTTATTCCTGCTTGTGTGTTGGGGAAGGGCGTAGCCCTGGGTGCCTGAAGGCTAGTATTGCGATGCGAGAGTTATATAGGAGCGACTGGACACTAAGTCCAGAAGAGTTCTGTGATTGTCCGGAAGACAGTTTTGGGAGGGGGATTTGGTACTGAAGATGGAGATTAGATCATAGGAGGTAACATACTTGTAAGTATGTTTGAAACCATGGTTTTGACATGACTGGCTACTTGTTCAAGTAGTTGTTTATGGAGTTCTTGGTTTATTGAAGAGATGGGTAGGAATGACTCAGGGGTATTTCCTTGGGGCGAGTTGTTGAGATTGCTTTTGAGCACTGAAGCATAAAGTGTAGGATTTGGAGGGGTAGGAGTCGAAACCCTTGAGGGTTCCGGCTGACTAAGGATGTTAGTATTGGGATTACGATTTCTCGGATTTTTTGGGCATGAAATGTGGCTAGCTGGATGCGGACCTCCGCAATTTGAACAAATTGCAGGTGCATCAGCCTCTTTATCACAGGATTTGGTGTGGTGGGATTTGGCGCACCTCGCGCAACGCGGGGCCGCAAAGCAGTTCGAGGCGGCGCACAGTGTCGCGGGGGTATAGGGACCAAGGACAAAAAATCATTTTTTCTTTTGCATGGCTCAGATTTTAACTATATTTTGTAATTATCAAGTATGTTAACAGAAGAATAAAAAGCAATAATAGAATCACAATTATAATTAATTTATACAGAGTGAAACCGATAAAACTGGCAGTTTGAAAAAGGTTAAATTCGCATTTTTCTTTATAACATTAAAAGGCTTTAAATTTTGTTGTTTTGTCAAAAACGTTTTACCCAATTTTTTTTAAAGTTATATTATACAGGATAATCCAAAAGTCACTGGGTAAAAAAAAAAATGTAGTGTTTTGAATTGGCTTACTATTGCAATATCTATCATTACGATCTATAATATTATCTATAAGTATAAATTTTGATTTGTTCCGGATATAATAAAGGTCAGTTCAAACTATAAAACTATCTAGGTACATTATTAACTATAAACATATTTACAAAAGTTCTTAGGAAAAAAAGTGTGTTTTAATCATTCCGATTCTTCATTTTCTTTATCTTCGTCGTCCTCGCTCAATAAATTTAAATGTATTTGTCCTCGCTATTGGTTAAGTCTGGAACTAACTCAGCAGGATATAACTGATCGGAATCAAAAGTTTTATCGAGTAACAGATATTCCTTAATTTGACTATCAAGCTTAGAACTTTTTGTAGAAGAAGTTCGTCTAAGACTTGATAGTTCCGGATCAGAGGTTAATAATAGAGTCCTCATGATATCCATATTTGAGTTAATCCTCGACGTTTTGCGGGAATGATATAATCTAATTTGTCGCACTTCCTTGTGCCGAGCTTCCAAAGCTTCTTCTGACAACTGGCCAACTGGCAATTCGAAAAATTGATTATATCACATCCATGCACCAAAACTTTATGGACGGAACTGGGCATATAATACCAAGGATAAAATTGTAAATATAATTGTCTCGTCTCTTTTAATAAAACACCAAAATTAGTGGTGTCTATTTTATAACCGCTAGCTAATACCCTTAAAATTAACGAAAATTTCAAAATTAACTGTTTATCAATTCCTGTTATAGCAGCAGACATTTCGGGATCATTAAAAATCTTCTGGCTGTGTTGCCGTCGTTAGTTGACCTGTAACCTGGCTTTGGTTTATCCACCACCAATCCCATTTACATTTGAAATCCTGTTGGATTCGTCTTTTCGTTGTTTCAAAATTTTTTTTATCTTCAGTTCCCCTTACCTGCCACCTCCTAAAAGGTAGCCGATAAGCAATATGTAACAAACATTCGAAAAAACGAATCCAACAGTGTAACGTGGATAGTCCGAAACGATAATTTTGAATGTTAGGGAGTTTATTAAGTGCAACGTCTGTATTCATTTCTCTGGGACTAGCTCCGCAGACTAAACATTTTGAAGTGGAATTAGTGTTGGACAAAATATTTGCAACACTCCCATCAACATCGTAAATAGTAACTCGAATAAAATATTAATGTTCTTTCCTTTGTAACAGGTGTTGTAATCAATTAACTGACTAATTATTTTTTTAAGTTTATCTTGTTCTAAGCGAACTAACTCGGCATTTTCTTTTAAAAATACGAATTTTATTGGTCTGCAAAATAGAGTTGAGGACGTTCTTGGATTTTGCCATATAACTGAATCGCTTGTTAAGTCCACTAATTTTAAGGGTGAAAACGCTATTAAAAACATAAATTCATCTGTGCTATTTATGTCTTGGTTAAATTTCTGTTTATAAAGACTATGCCTCGAGCTACCATCGAAACCCCACTTGCAAATTAACTTTAAGCGAGAATTCAACTGATCAGTTGTCAATATATTTAGAATGCTTGACGCTGTTTTTTCTAGAACTTCCTGAAGATTGATTTCGGCTGATATTTCAGTGACATTAATGTTTGTTGGTAAATATAATTGTTTGGTTTGTACAAGGGCGTGGTAGCTCGGGAAACAGTCTTTATGTATAACGTTTACGACAGATCTTAATATGTTATATTTTTTTACTGACAAATTAAGATCTAAATATAATGCTAGCGCTTGTTTTGCGTTAAGACCTGGTGAAATTGTCTTTTTTGAACATGTTGGTTCTGACCTTTCGACGGCGAAACGCAATTCTGCAGTTGGCTTTGTTAAGAGCTCCTCAACTCTTCGTTTTTTGGTTTTTATTGAGGCTTCTTCAAACGATTTTCGAGGTCTTCCACGGCTTGAACCAGCGTTTTCGGAACTCGTAGTAGCAAAAGATGTCATACTTTGGGTAAAAAAAGAATTTAACCAGACTTCATGTCGCTTCTGAAATACTTTGCGATTTCTGTTAGCTTCTTACCATATTTTCTCCAAGTTCATGCAAAAAATGAACTTTTTTTACGCAAAACATGCACTGTTTCATCCGAAATATCTTCATTTTTGAGTAAAGCCTTCAATTTTAGAAAAATATTATTTGTTTTTTCTGATTTCTTCGACTTGAGCCAATGTTCAAATAACTCGCTATTTTTGACAACAATGTTCACGTCTAAGAAAAAACGAAAATAAAGAAAATTCGCAAATATTCGCAAAAATCAAAAGCAGTGCCATTTAGCTGAATACATCAAAAAACAATTTATAAAATTTCTCCGATATATTTTGACATATATTTTTTATAAGATTCGCCAAATATTAGAGTAAATTATTTCTGCAACGTTTGGTATAGACAATTTTAGAGAATGAATGTATCGAAAACTAAGCAGCAATAAAATATATTTTACCGAATTCTTTTTTCTTAGTTTTTACCTCTAATTTTGTTGTCCATTATATGAAATTCTCACAATATTAAGTCGTCTCACGTTATAACACTAAAAACTTTCTTGAAAATGTGATATCTATATTATAACACGCGGGACAGATTTTTAATGCGACTTTACGCTGTCAGCAGAAATTAGTGTCAACAATTTGACAGCTGTTAATTTGTTTATCTAAGCCTACTAGGTTTGTAGATGCAAAGCATTATTTTTACATTTGGCTTAAATGACTTTGGTATTTTGATTTTTGTCCATGGGACACAACACTGTGCGGCGTGGCCGAATTGCTGGCAATTGTGGCACTGACGTACCCCATTACCGCGCCTCGGCGTCACCACCCGAACCCTCAGCGAGCCCACATGCGTGATGTCGAAGATGTGGGTTTGGTGTTTGACCTCTGACCTCTGACCTCGAAGCCTTGGGAAGTAAGGTCTTCAATTATTGCCGAGTTGTCGACAAAAACTTCTACACCTTTGATTAGGACATTTAGATCCCTGTCTGCAGGGGAAAAATAAGTATGGAAGGGAATTTGCTTGTTTTTGAGATAGTCGACGATGGCCCTATGGTCATCAGAGGAAGAGGGAGTGATTCTAATGCCGAGAGGCACAGTTTTTGCTTCTGAAAAGCAGATTTTTTGCTCTTTGAAAGCTCTTGTGATGCTCATCCAGAGACGAGTATCACGAAGTACGACTTGGGGAGGAATTTTAGGTTGAGGCTCCTGCTGTGTTTGAAGAACAGCAGGGGGAGATTTGGGTTGGGACGCCTGTTACGTTTGTGGAGCAACAGCGGGAGGGTTTTCGGTTTTTGGAACCTGACGTTCCGGACAATCGGGCTCACTTTCATCGGGATTTGCACCAGATGAAATTGAGCGAGGTGAGGATAGTGTTCGGATTGGGGAAGCCTCCCTTGAGGCTAGCTTTTTGTCTGGGATGGGTGATAACGCAAGAGGCACGTCGGAACTAGCCCGTCGCGCCCTCTTGCGAATCACATCTCTCCGGGTGAGTATCTCGACATAGTTGAGACCATGCCGTTGAAGAATTTTACTCGCTATACTTGATTTTTCTTCAAAGGAATGAAAGGAATAAATTAAGTCTTGAATTTCGTCACGGGAATAATCCCTTGACTGATCAAGACTGATGAATGGGTCTGGGAAGGATGCTATTTTAGTGTCGACAGGATTTGGGGGCAAAGGTGATGATATGATAGGGTGTGGAGATATTAGGGGAGAGTCTGCGGGAAGGGTTTTAACCTTCTTTTTCTTGGAAGCCATGATAGGCGATAAGGAAAGAAAGACCCTTGGAAAGGGCCGTAGGGAGCGAAACTTACTCTGAAGAATCGAGTAAGT